ACTTACCCCATGGCCGCTTTCCACCCCGTCTGTCCTTGGAGGGGGTCCCTGAGGTGGGTTTGGGGCTCGGCTGGGCGCTGGCCACTCGCCAGCTCTCCGCGCCGCGGGGCGGCCGACCCCTGCTGAAGGGGGGATTTAGGGCGCCAGCACGTATCTATGGGCATCGCCTCCATCTCCCCGGTGCTCTGCCAACAGGCCAGCACGGCGCTTCGAAAAGCACAGCCAGAGTTGTTTCATGGGTGCACGAGAGCCCCACGTGGGGAGCGACCCGGCCGCGAAACGAGCGCTCGATGCGCCACAAACCGCCGCGCACGCGGCTCCCGGCCCGGGCACGGGCAACGCCGTGGGGCCACGGCAGGTTTTCACTCTGCCCTTCTGTCCGCGATTCTCGGAGAACGTGCAGCGCCCGCTGGCAGCGCCCAGGCCTGGTACAACCGTACGGGCAAAGAGGCGGCTCAGACTGAGAGAACGTGGGAAGGTCACAGCGCGACAGATCCGCGGGGACAGAGACCAGAACCACAACTCCCGGCGCACGGGACTGCTCCTCGTAACGCACGTGTCAGGGATTACGCCCTGTAGAAGTACTAGGGAAAACTGAGCAGCAGAAAATCATTTATTGCAGGAAAATTTGTCCCCGCAGAGGATTTAAGCAGCCTGTTTTCCAAGGGGAAAAAGCTGGTTGGAGGCGGCCAGGTCCCGTTTGCGGTGTGGGGCGGCACTGCACAGCTCCGTGCAGGGGGACGCCCAGTCACCGCGCACGAGGTCAGCTCTGAACGTCCCTCCGGGGCTGACGAGCTCCCGGGCACCGCACCAAGAAGGGCACAGTGTCCAGGCTCCGTGGCCATTCCGGTGGGAAAGGGACTCCGGAGCCACCGCAGCTGCGTGCTTTTTGCGCCTAAGTTATGTGCAAAGCTCTTCCCAACAGGGCAGAACAAAAGCCAGCCGTTTACACTTCGCCGCCTCTCACTCTCCAAAACGCCGTCTGTGTGCCTTTGCCTCGACTGACACACTTACTGCCCTCAATTATCTTCTCCGGTACAAGAGAACGTCTTATGTAACTGAACTGAATAGCCAAATAACAATTTATAAACAAATATGGCAAGCCGAAATATGACAAAAAAAGGTTCATCAAGCCCAAACACACAAGGCACCAGCGAACTTGTTAGGTCTGGTCCCACACAGCCCATGTCAGGCCATATTCCCGACCATAACACGGAGTACCAGCTGCGTTTACATCATCACCGTCCCTGGAGAACCGAGGAAAATGAACCCAAGGCTGACAAGTATGAAAGTGCCCCCCCCCCCGCCACCTTGTCTGCACAACGTTCCCTAAAAATAAATAAAATGCTTACGGTTCTCAGGACACATAGCTGTACTAGATTATTCTCTTCCAAGGACTAAGCCCAATATTTCGCATCAGACACCTCAGGATTTCTAAAAGGAGAAAAATCAATGTGAATGCCATGCAGATAGGATTCAAATAAAAACTGAGAACCACAAACATAAAAGGACGCAAAATATACTTCAATATGGAAAGAACAGCGTCAAGATCAAAATGGTATTTCCAGATGCGTGTAGTCTTTTGACAATGTCTCACTTCATAATCACCAGAAATCCAGGCAGCTGGGCCGGGCCCTGCTGGCAATAAAAGCCACCGACACCTGCAGAACGCTGCCTGAACACGGCGGCATCTCTATATTTGTCACCACTTTTTTTATACCACAATTACTTGACATTATTTCTGTGGGATTTCAGATCTGCTGTCACCCGAAGGTGAACGAGCAACGTTTAATTTCTCGTCTTATGCCACTCTTCAATCACTCGAGAATTTACTTTTTTATTTGGAGTTTTGTAGTTGCGATTTTTGCTTTAAAATCTCATTTCAAACACGGGCAGGTAGATCACGTACATACGCGTGAGCCGCGGATGCGAGGGGCAGCGGAGATGGAGCGCGGACGGCTCCCCACGGCCGCGGGGGTGACTCCGCGCTCCTCAGGGCCGTGCCCTCCCCTTCCCGGGGAGTTTCCCTCCCCAGAAGCCGAGGGCCGGTGCAGCGACACCGAGACTCAGTGTCGGCCGTCGTGGTTCAGAAGGGGGGCGAGCTGCTGGCCCTGCGGCCCGGGCCGGCGCGAGGGACGTGTCT